CAAGTGGGGGGAATTTGGGGTAAAAGGGGAGGTTTGGGGGCAAACGGGGAGATTTGGGTGTTTTGGGGACAACTGAGAAGTCCTGGAGCAAACAGGAGGGGTAGAGGAGGAAATCTGGGGACAGTTGAGACAATTTGGGGACAGCCAAAAGAGGATGGAGCAAACGGGGCAGTTTGGGGACAGTTGGCATAAAATAGAGTAAATGGTGTGAAGGGGAATGGGACAGTTTTGGGGACGGTTCAGGCAGTTTGGGGACAACTGAGGGATACAGGAGTGCGGGGGGGACACCAACGGGGCAGGTTTGGGGCCAGTCGAGGCGGAATTGGCTCAAACGGGGACATGGGGCAAACGGGGAGGGGGAGACGGGGAGATTTTCTCCGGGGCCTCTTCCCGCGTTGGGAAGCGGCGGCTCGGCCGCGTTCTGGGGAGAAATCCCCTTTTCCCGCCGCTTTTCCGCGCTCCGTTGGGTTTTCGGGACCTGGGAAGTGGCAGTTTTTGGAGGGGGGGGCGCTGCTTTTTGCTGGTTTTGGGACTTTTCTTCCCCCCCTTCGGGAGCAGCGATGGATTTGGGGACGTGCCCAAGGTCTGGGGACCGAATTCCTGGTTTTTGGGGTCTCGAGCGCAGCCCGTTTTCCACCGCTGCCTTCCCGAGGGGGCTTCAGCTCCAGCAGTTTTCCAAACTCCAGGAATCACTTATTTCCTCGGGAAAGACTTTTAGGGACCTCCCAAACCGCCGCTTTTTAGGGCACTTTGGGGGGCAGAGCCGCTTTTTCCCACCCGGAGCCAGTCGCTTTCCCGGCCCCCCCAGCTCCCCGTTCTCCCCCCATGGGATTTCCCTTCAATTTTGCTTTTCGCCCTCCTTTTAGTTCCCGCCTTCCTCCATTTCCCTTTTTATTCCCATCATTTTATTTCCCCCCGTTTGGTCGTTTTCCCATCGCCGCCTGGGTTTGTTTCCGTTGCGATTTATGGTGTGGTTCATTTCATTCTCTTCTTTTTCCCCTTTTTTTTGGTTGTTGTTGTTTTCCCCGTTCTCGTCGCCGTTCCCGTCCCCCCTCCGCCCTTTCCGCCCCCTTCCCGTGTTCCCGGCCTTGTCCCGCTCCAGTTATTGTCATCACTCTAAGCCCCGCTCCCGCTCCGTCCCAGCGAGCAGGTACCGCCACGACCCCCGCGTCGCTCCCA